ATTATTTATTCCACTTTTTAATCCATGAGCTTCTTAATCTCAGAGTATTACAATATAAGTGTAGCATCTTATTGTAATAATACCATAACAATTATATTACCATCTTAGAGCACAAAAAAAAGAATGGAAATAAATGGGTGAACTAACTTGAAGTTGGTGAGGAGAAGCAGAGCAACCACGGGCTTGAATACCAATAAGGTCTTCAATTAAATCATTTTCTTCTTTAAGACAACAACAAACTTTGACTTCTTGTTGGTCTACAACACTATTAAAGAGTTGATTACATAAAGCATGTTAGAAGAAGATCAAGTCATCAAGAACTGAAAAGGCAAAATATCATTAATGTAGTATATATTTTAGCTGGATATACCAATGTCTGTATTAAAGAAGGAAAAGGGGCTAAGAGACCTATCACTGCAGGACTCAATTCAAATCCTAAAGACATCATGTTATCAAAATATATCTTCCAACAACTTAGTAAGCTATAGATGTATTGACGAGCCTGATATTGATAATGTTTCTTCCGCTGAAATTGTCCATTAACAGACTGCTTCGTATTCCCAATAACAAATATACAGATAATAAGTATCACGTTTTAAGACAAATAAGAAGTATTATACATAATAGCTACAACCTCGATCCAATCCTTAGAGATAGACTGATAGATGATCAACTGTCCCTATCCTTTGTCATCTAGAATCAAACAAGAACTTGAGTTAAATATTCTAACAAAATCTAGTAGCAATTAGTATATCCTGTTTGTTTAAATGTTAAGATTCAATTTGGTGATCAAAACAAAATGGGTTTTTATAGGCGCACACAAAAGATTACTCTCCTTAGCGACCCTTCAAACTAGAGAAATAAAGGCGCACACAAAAACTAGAGATATCCATAAATGCATGAAAAAGTTAATACATTAATAAATAGAAAAATTTAATTTTAGTTTCAATAGAGGACCGGAAGGCCAAAGGCAACAATAGAGACTCGGAGACCAAGACTTTGTTAGCTTTCCTTCCCAATATAAAGGTAGATGAGCCTACAACATAAAAATTTAGAGAATTCTTTATTAATTTCATATGTATAAGCACCAAGTGTTCTTCTTAACTATTGTTTTACATTTTAAAGCATCCCAGATTCATAAGGAACAATGAATACAAATCAGTAACTGAAAACTAGATACCAAAAAGGGGAAAAAGAATCTCAAACTACATCACTAATACCTCTGAAATTCACCACTCTCATGTAAAATCAGATCCCATCAAGCATTGTGAATAGAACTTAGAAAATCCATAATGAACAGTAAGAGAGCAAGAAGTCCATCACAAAAAATAAATAGAATCTACATAGTGAATGAATAAAGTAAAAAATTACCAGAAGACCAGATCTGAGAGATCGTACCTCGATTTTCTTTCAGTTCGAGGCCAACAAAAATCAATTTTTTCTTAATTTACTAATGTGTGGCTTTCCCTCTTTATTTATTTATTTGTTGCATCTCCGAATGTTCTTTCACGGTAGATAATCAGAGTGATGAGTTGGGTAACCAGGGATTGTGGTCGGGTTGGTGAGATAGCAATTAGTTGGGCAGCGGCGTCTGAGCAGTACGATGGAAAACCTTTCAAAAACCTTTCCCTGAAATTATCTTTAGTTCGTGATTTACATTTGGAGGGAATATGTGAATTTTATTGGAAAATATTGGTGGGAAAGATAAAACATTAACTTTAATTAGTGATTATTAGGGGCCATTCTTTTTAATTGCCAGCAAAAAGGTAGTTTCTCCGGGCTAATGTGCATTTGTCGGTAATATCCCTTCGTCAATAATAAATTAGTGACAATTAATTAATTGCCACTAAATGATTGTCGTTAAAATGACTTTTTGTTGTAGTGTGTAAATAAAGTCTGAGCAATAAAAAATTATGTAAACTACATCATAGCACCATAGAGGGTACAATATGTTTCCAAAAAGAGATACAAATCAAATCATCTCGTTAAATTCCAATTTCAATAAAATCCTTTAGAAAATGTCTTTCTAACCATTTCAGTAGAAGTTTAATGTAATTTATAATGAAAGTGATAAAAATCGTAATCGACCCCTCGGGCAAAACATAGTTCGTATACAGCCCCTCGGGAAAACATAAATCATAAACGGCCCTTTGGGCAAACCTCTCGGTCATTCATATACATCACATAATATGAAAATCTCAATGGAAATAACAAAACCAAATCAGTAATTTAATTCCAACTATCTCGTAAAAATCCAGTTTCAATGAAAGTTGTTCAAAACATTTGTTTAACATATTCAATAGAGGCTTAGTATAAAGATGAGTGAAAACAGTAATTTAATCAACATATTCAATAGAGACTCACTTTAAGGAGGAGTGAAAACAGTAATTTAATAAAACAAGCCCCCCAGGCAAAGCATCACTCATATATATGTATATGTAGCTCCTCGGGCAAGCCTCTCAGTCACTCATGACTCAACTTTCATTAATCAGCGCTCACGCTCAATAGGTACCTTATAATAACCATTGCGGCGTGCAGCCCAATCCATATATAGTTGCGGTATATAGCCCGATCCATATATATATTCGATTGCGCTCACTGGGGGTGTGCAGACTCCGTAGGGGCTCCTACAGCCCAAGCGCTATATTACTGTGGCGTGCAGCCTAACCCAACATATCGTTGTCGCGTGCAGCCTGATCCATATATCGTTGCGGCGTGCAGCCAAATCCATATATATATCGCTGCAGCGTGCAGCCCGACCGATCCATAAATATATAGTCCATATATNCTCAGCCTCTCTTAGTCATCAACCTCACAATCAGGCCCTCGGCCTCTCTCAGTCATCAACATCACAAGCCACTCGGACTATCAGTAAAATAGGGCGTTCAGCCCAAAATATAATTCATAGTATCAAAACTGAGTAAATAAGGATGAGTTATGAAATTAGTAAAATACAGCATAACCGATTACAATTATTAAGTCAAAACAGTGAGGAATAGTAGTAAAAAATCCCATAAGGATCCAAAACAGTTGGCACGAGGCCCAAATATAGCATGCCGCCCAAAATATAACAATACTTTCTAAAACACAATGATATCAAACAGTTTTCAATCAAATACGCGACTTAACAGTCGTACGGGATGGACCAAGTCACAATCCCCAGCGGTGCACGACCCCATGCTCATCATCTCGCGCGTGCATCACCTCAAAGTAGCACAACGATATGAAATCCGGGCTTTCATACCCTCAAGACAACATTTACAATCATTACTTACCTCGAAACGGACGAAAATTAATTCCTCAATGCCCTCGCCGCTCGACTCGGCCACAAATCACCTCGAATCTATCCAAAATCAGAATCATATCATCAATACATGCCAAAGGGACAAAACCCATGCGAAAATTATCAAATAAAACTCAAAATTCTGTAATAGGCCGAACCCAGCCCCCGAACCCACGTCTCGGAATACGTTAAAAATTACGTCACTAGAATTCTCATCCTCCCACGAGTCTATACATACCAAGATCATCAAAATCGGACCTCAAACGACCCCTCCAATTCCAAATTTAACCCTCCAATTTCAAAACCTAATTTCCCAGTTCTTTCTCTAATTTTTCACACTAATTTTCATGATTAAACAATGAAATAATCACTATAAACACAAGATACAAATCCCAAGTAGCTTACCTCTCTGTCAACACTTGATTCCCTCTTGAAATCACAGCTTGGAGCTCCAAAATCGCATAAAAATGATGAACAAATAACTGAAAATCGCAAAGGGGTCTTTTTATACATTCTGCCTAGCACTTTCGCACTTGCGATCCCATAAGCGCACCTACGCTTCCTCTTCTGCAGAACAACATCCGCTCCTGCGGATTTCACTTATCTCACCATGCCTCACATCTGCGGTCGCCTCATCGCTCCTGCGGCATCGCAAATGCGATTACCAAGCCACACTTGCGGTCCTCCACGCACCTGCGCCTCTCTTCCGCTCCTATGGAGATCGCACGTGCGGTCCCTAATCCGCAGGTGCGGATATGACAGAAGCAGCAACATCACCTGTAGTTTCTCAAGTTCAACCTTTCCGAAAACTATCTGAAATCATCCCGAGGCCCCCGGAACCTCAACCAAAAATACAAACAAGTCACATATCACCATTCAAACTCATTCCAATTTCGGAACACTCAAAATAACATCAAAATATCAAATCACCCTCGGATTCAAACCTAAAGATTTCAAAACTTCCAAATTCCGAATTCGATTAAAAAGTCTATCAAACTTCGTCCTAATGACCTGAAATTTTGCACACACGTCCCAAATGACATAACAGACCTACTCCAACTTTCGGAATTCCATTCCGACCCCGATATCAATTTTCCAATGCCGATCGGAAAATGCCAAATTTCCAATTTCGCCAATTCAAGCCTAAATCTTCCACGGACCTCCAAAATACATTCCGTTCACGCTCCTAAGCCCCAAATCACCTAGCGGAGCTAACCAAATCATAAAAATCTAAATCCGAGATCGTATATTAAAAAGTCAAAACTTGGTCAAACTTTTCAAATTAAAGCTTTAAGCTGAGAATTGTTCTTCCAAATCTATTGCGGTTATCCTGAAAACCAAAACCGACGCTTTGCATAAGTCATAATACATCATACGACGCTAATCATGCCCGAGAACTGGCGAGCGAAGTGAAATTGCTCAAAATGACCGGTCGGATCGTTACAACTAGTCATTCTCCTTTATGCAGATGATTATCAAAAGCAGTCCATTGCGCTTAAAAAATTGTTTTTCAAATAAAACTGCAGTTTTAGGTATGACATAGATAATATGTTGATGTCTTACTGCTTTGAGCAATTTACTCCAAGTCTTAGTTAGATGGTACTCAATCTTGTTTCTTTTGGTGTTAATTCTTTATTTTTTCAAGTTATTGATGTTACCTTGCAGAGTTCAAATATTGAGGGTTCCATGTTCAATGTAATTTCAGGTAAACCAAATCTTGAAATTCAAAATCAAGAAATTGATTACATAGCATTACAAAACTGATACAAAAGCTCAACCAAATCTTGTATTAACAAAACAGAACTGATTTCATAAATACACAATTCTGGTCATATCAAATAGCTACTCCCACAAAAGTGCCCTTAAAATTTGAAAAGATAACTTCCATCTTCAGCCATAGAAGTTGAATCAAGTTTTGTTGCAATTGAATCAGTAGAGCCTTCAGCAACAGGAAGATCAACATGTTGTGCTTCTTTTCCTGCATCCAAGTTGTAATACATAAGTTTATGAAACTCTTCTCAAAATTTTCAGTCTTATTGTTAAAGCATTTATAAACAACAGTAATCAAACCTCTTGTTTTAGGCTTTAAGTCGACGAAGATACTAACTAGCAAAGAAGGATCCATTGTTAATGGCATCAGCATTGGCATCACCAAGTGCAGCCTCTTTGAGGTATTTGTCAGCCAACTGAACTCTCTTCACATTTTCTTGCTCTTGTACAAGCATATTACCGTACTCGAGGAGCTTCTCAATGGTCATCTTTGGTTGCTCAAAAGTTGGTGGTCCGTCAAAAGAGTTCAAAAGTTTGTCTCCAATCTTTTCAATTCCAGTGCCTGATACCCACTTCCTTACTTCATCATCGTATACTCTCGCCCTCAGTGCACCGAAAAAGTCTGTTTTTTAAGAACAAAGGTATCCATCAGATATCATCATTGACTTTCTTATATATTCATCTTAAGAAAAGTAAGAACTTTGTGTAATTTTTAGTGTCCTTACCGATAGATTGTCCAGGGAAGTTATCAACAATCTTGACAACGTCTTCAGCAGGAACATTGTCGGTCCTGAAAATACCTGTGCAAACACCAATTCTGTCTTCCCTAGTTGGTGCCCAGTAGAACTTCTCCATACGACCATCACGGATAAGTGGAGCATACAATGTGGAGAAATCGTTACCAGTGACGATAATAGGGACCCTGGCATTCTCTTGCTTGTTGTACATACCGGGGAGCTGGACATTTGTCGGGTTGTCAGCAATGTTCATGAGAGTGGCATTCACCATTTGGTTGTTGACAGTGTATTGGGTAGTTCCACCCATTCTACCAGCTCCTGCATCGAGATCGTTGATGAAGAGGCAACACATATTTCCCTTTCTGATGATTTCTGCTGCTTCTCTGTACCTTTGCCTAATCAACTTGGCTGGCTCTCCTGCATTTCCACTTTCCAATTCTCCAGCACTCATCATAATGGGGCTGCAATTTTTATACACCAAATATAGTAAGTAACTTTAATCCATTTCCCTTGACAAATTATGAGTTAAGATCTATGTTGCTTGGACTCTCCAAAAATGTTGTCAGGTGCCTATCAGATCCTCCAAAAATAGTGCATTTTTGGAGGATCCGATACGGGTGCGGCAACATTTTGGAGAGTCCTCGCAACATAGGTTAAGATAATATGTAACTTAGGTCAAAACTCACTTGATTCCCATCTTTCTGAAGACAAGTTCACACTGGAATGATTTGCCTTGACCTTTGCCTCCCCAGATACCCAAGATAAGTGGAACCTGTAAGAAACATAAACAAAGTTCAATCTTCTTTTACACCAAAAGAAAGACTGCTAAAGCCAGAATTTTTAAACAAAACATTTCCTTAACATACCTTGATGTTGGGCAATTTCAAGAAGTTCTTGGTGATGTGAACAACAAGCTTGTCCATGAAAGCAGGAGCGATGTAGAATCCGTCCAACTTGTTGTCCAAGTTGTACCTAGATAAGCAAGGTGAAAATACATTTAGAACCAAAACTTCATAATTAACACAATTTCCTCCCTTAATGGAGTATCAAAGGTACGTGGCTTTTCAGCTTTTAGATAAGATGGTCAGACTTACTGGCGAAGACCTTGGCTGACGTATTCGTAGGATTGCAACACAGCGTGGTGAGTACCAGTACCCGTTGGAGCCTGGAAAAGACTGTCAACCATACCCTTACCCCGGGTGATGTCCTGTTGATCATCGGAGAAGTCTTGGACAAGACCCTTCCATCTGTCACTGTCGGTCTGTTTCTTCGGATCAACATCTATTTGTTCAGCTACAATCCTCAAGCTCTTGTTTGTAACCTTGGGGCTTGAAACACCTTTTCCATACACTTTCTTCAAAGTTTTGCCAAAGAAGGCTGTGCTTGGAACTGAAGTTCCAGCAACTGAGTTGTTCAAACTCAACTGTAACAAAAATGTTTTCTTAGTAACAGTCACTGAATATTGGTAAAATCTTGAATAAACCCCACAATCCATAGTCTTTTTTTTTCTACTGTATTCTAGCGTAACTTGTAAAGCTGTTGTCATGTGACCAGGATGTCACGGATTCGAGCTGTGGAAACAGCCTCTTGCAGAAATGTAAGGTAAGACTGCGTACAACAGACCCTTGTGGTCCGGCCCTTTTTCGACCCGCGCGTAGCAGGAACTTAATGCACAGGGTTAGGGTTGCCTTTGTTCTTATTTAGATGTCAAACCTGTATTATCCTAGTATCAATCTTAAACACAAACATTCCTAAATTATCCAGTTAAGTTTCTTTTCTATTCTTATACTCAAAGGACCCCATCCAAGAATTGACCGAAAGAACTTCAATTTCAAGTCATTACAACAAAAACAACTATGTCTCAATCCAAGTAAATTGGGGTCGGCTATATGAATCTGCACTAACCATGTCACTCTATTTAAGCTCATCTCAGCCCGATATTTATACAATGGATTATAACTAAGTAAAAGACAGTTAGAAAACGTTATCATATATAATAAACAAAATTGACATTTTCTTAAAGAGTGACGAGAAAAAACATAGTACCGGTGCTTTGTTAACAGCTCCAATGGTTGAGACAGAGGTAGCCATGGTCTTTGACTAACTCTGAACACAAACAGAAAACTGATTTAGAAACTCTTTTTTTAAATTTGCTGAGAAAAAAAATTCAACAGTTAGTTGGTGAAGAAAGTTTGGGCAAGTGAGAGACTTTATAGCACAAGTTGTAACTTGTATGAAGTGTAAGGTTAAGGTGAGAGTAAGAAAATTTATGTGGATTTGGCTAACGAATTCCTAACGGCCACACAATTGAAGATTGGCTATATTAGGTGGACATTTCAAAGGGACTTTAATTTTTGACATGGCCTCTGTTTTTTTCTATTTGGTTGGATGAATAGATTGAGTAACAATAAAGATTGAGATTTCTTGGAACTACTTGGCTTTGAGGTTATGATTTAAGCTATTTTTTTCCTCCAGAATTATTCTCTTATCTTTTTACTTTTTTTTTTTTGTGCTTTTCTTTTTAGTATGTTCGTGGATAAAGAGTTGATGCAATTATTGTACAACTATTTGAATTCTACCACAAATTTGAAAATTTGGGGCTCCTAGTTACCACTCTTGTAAAAACAAGAACAAAAGTTGCACCAAAGGTTAGTGATTTACCGGTCAATGAAATTAGTGAAAAATGTAGAAGATCAGGATTTAAATTGCTATATTTTTCTCATGTGCCTAGACTTAGTGGCCGAGTTACATAATACATGTGCAGAGGCGGATCCAGAATTTAAATTTTATGGGTTTAATTTTTAAATTTTTTTATCATTGAACCTATTATATTTTAAAGTTATGGATTTATATCTACTATTTTGTAATTTTAATAAATTTTTATTCCGCGTAAAAAATTATGAGTTCAATTGAACCCGTCGAATATGCACACATATGTTATTGAGAGATAATAAATATACACTAGAATAGCTGAGGTGGATGCATGATGCCCTAGACAGCATCATTGTAAAAAGAACATAATTTATCTTATAGAATTATATATTTATANCACTATAAGATTGCAGGTTCAATTTACCAAGGAACAAAGCGGAAAGCTCTTGGGAGGTGTAAAAAAAGTATATGCATACTTAAAAATATCTCACAGCCAATTGACCTATGAGTTAAAATAAGCGGAACATTTCTTTAATGGTATTTATTCTTACTAGTAATTGTTTATGCTAGAGGTTATCGATAATTAGTGTTTGACCCAAAAGATATCGAATCCATTTTGGTTAAATCAATTAAAGAAGATAAAAGGGTTAATCTCAGCCAAGTATAATAAATTCCAGAATTAGGGACATGAGGGATGAACAAGGTAAATAGAATCTATTGATCTCCTGGAACAGGAGGATTAAGTGTGTAAAAAATGATCACTACCAATGTTGAATCAGTATTACAAAGCAAGTTCTTAGTTTAAAAAAATCCCCCCCCCCCCCAAGGTTACTTCCTTCCTATATATATAAGGGACAACCCCCTCTGAACCCTAGCAGACATACCTAGGGAAATTCGAGAGTATATTCCTAATGCACCTTGTTAGGTTGACGCTATTACAAAAGTCATACGTCCTTCATCTGTTGTCGGTCGTCATCGTCCTCCACAGGGCGTCATACTGTGGAGACCTCATCTTTGGTCGTATTTGACAGTAGCCATGGTCGACCAAATTTAGACCTATACAATTAGTCCCTCCGCTTGTCGAGGTTGCGACTTGGATCATCCTTGATGAGCGGACATCGCCCACACTTGTGGAGAAATTTGGTTTCACGAAACGTTATGACTTGGCCAACAATGGAAGGTTAGCATGCTCAACGAGACCATGTGTGGTGTATCTTATTGGGAAATGAAGTCACCTCCACGTGCGTCATCATTATGCGTATTTTTGAGACAGCTTGTCGCTTCGATTTCGGTGCCATTCTGTAGCCTTCCGCTTCGATTCTGGAGCCACCCAATCCTATAAATAGATGGAGGGTTTGTATTTTCAAAAACTCTTGGCCATTTCTTCTTTGGTTATTCCTTTCCTTCTCTCCCGCTTTTGCTCTAGCAATTATCTTTGCTTTCTCTCCGTTTGTCGTCCTTGGCTTTTTCTGTTCTGTCACAACATTCATCGCTATAAATATGCCTAGATCACATCGATCGCGTGAGGGGGTTTCTGACGCTACCCCATTGTCCGTGGAGCCCATTACCGGCGGTGAGGACACGATGGTGGAGGAAGGGGATAGCTTTCCCACCATGGAGGAGTTGCTGCCGAGACATCCTTCGTCTTGAAGCGATTTCCTTAAGGGCCCTCCATTGTCGAAGCAAGTCCATATCGATGCTCTCTGTGCAAAATATAGCATTCCCGCTCATATTGAGATGGTTCCAGTGGGAGGGGACTTCGTGGAAGTCCATAGGCCTAGGTAATGAGCCTTCTATGAGTACCCCTTTGTGATTGGTCATTCCTTCCCCCTTCTCCCATTAGCGGAAGAATTCTGTCGATTCTATCAAGTTTGCCCGGCACAACTTTCCCTGTACACGCTCAAAATACTCTTGTTGTTGACAAAATATGTGGAGTTGGCGGGGTGTGAGGTTACCGTTCACCACCTTCTACACTTGTTTTCAACCAGCTTTCATAGGGGTACTATGGTACATCTGAGGCACCGTGGGACAAAAAGGCTGGTGGTCGGAACCGATGACCGGGCGAGTCGCAAATTTTGGCATAAGTACTTCTTCTTCAAAACTAAACATATCGTGTCTAACCCCGCTATATTCCTGGAGGGAACGAGGATCGTAAGTGTCGCCACTTGTTTATTCTTCCTTTTCTTCTTTATTCACCTTAGTGCTTACTTGCTTCTCTTTTGCAGCTATGGGGCGCGTGCCCTGCCCTATTGCGGGTATAAGGGATTGGGTAGCCTATCTGCTACCCCATGCAGCGGAGACTCGAGACTGACCCGCTTTCGTGAATTGCTTTGGGCCGAAAGATTCTTTCGGTAAGTGTCTTCCTCTACGCCGCCATCTTGTCATTGGTCGTCATGCCTACTGATATGGCTTTCTATGACGACAGGTCATGGTGCTTCTAGGCGTAAGGCCCCAGTCCCTGCAATTCGACAGGCCGTCGCTACTACAGGAATGCAATTTGCTCTGAGTGAGTCCGTCCGAGAGGGTCATACTCAACCGATATAGGCAGGAGATTCTTCTCACGATATGGTCGTGAGGGAAACAATCTCTTCTTTACCGGTCCATCACCCTGTGGATGAGTCTTCTAATGGGGATGAATCCTTATCGAGGAAAAGAAAGAGGGTGGAGCTTAGGAAGGGCATGACCGCTGATATTGGTGAGAATAGGACGGGTGCGACGTAGATGGCACCTGTACCCCCATTTATGGCCGACACCATCTTGGCGGGGAGATCTCCCTAAATAGAAGGGGTTTACCAAGGACGTGGTTCTGTACGCTCCGCTGAGGGTGGTGCATCGTCCAATGTCGGAAGGGGCCCACATGTCGAGGGCGAAGGCTCGGGCCCGGATGTTGACCGCGGGATGTTCGTGAGTTTTTGGAGCGTCACACTCACGTAGAGGTCAGAGTGGAGGGTTCTGATCGACATATAGTTGTCCCTGGGACTACAACTTATTGTCGGACTGTGATCAGGTGGAGTCTGCTTTAGCTCCTTTATGTGTTGCCCCTAAGAACGAGGCGCTTAGAGCGATGAGCGATATGGAGTTGTCTCGGAGCGTCTTTGGCATGGCCTTTCGGGTAGATATCTTTCTTTTCATTTCGTCGTTGGGTTTGTGTTATTGTTTTTGGCATGTATTTTTGTTTAAACTTCACTTTTTTTGTGCCAGACCTTTATCATGGAGATCGAACGCGAGCGCCAGGAAAAGATAAGGATGGCCATTTATGAAAAAATGTCTTCTAAATATCAACAATATCGCACCAAGCATCGTGCGATGGCTGACATCTACACTCAGGATCCTGACTTCTAAATGTTCCGTGAAGGGTTTACATAGAGGGAGGATCAATTGGCGCGTAAGGTCGAGGAGTTGAGGGAGAGAGACGAGGACCTCATGAAGGCCATCGCCTATAACAGTGAGCTCGAGGCATCCCTCAAAGTGAAGGAAGATGAGCTCGAGCTGAGTAGGGGGTAATGGCCGAGAATGCCGACCTCCAAGCCAAGGTGGCCAATTTGACTGTTGATCTGGATACAAAGACGGCGGAGATCAATGAGCTTAAAGGTGAGCTGGGCGTAAGTGCCGATAGATTGGTGACTGTAATCTCTAAGGCAGCAGTCTTGGATGATGCCCTCCATGTTTGTAGGTAGGAGCGGACCAAGAAGAAGGAGGCGTCTGCACTTAAGATTGCGGGGCTTAAGGGGCGTGTTCAAGGGTTAGAGGCGGAATTGTCCGTATTGAACAAGCAAATGGATTCTTTAAAAGCGGAGGACGTACAACGACAATCTCAGCCTTCTTCATCTTATGCACCGGCTGACCCTGTCATGCCTCGACGTCTATATGAGTTGTGGGTTCACGCCGAGGCTTAGCTTGATGTGTACAAAGCTCTTCATATTGATGGGAGGGCGTCTGAAGCGGAGCTTCGGATGTACATGCTAAGGCTCATGCAGCTCGTGAGGCATGCTGGTATGACCCTCTTACGTCTGACGGCAGTGATATAAACTCTGATGATGCGGACAGACTCGCCTCCGACTCTTGGTATGAAGACGTGTATGCCACCGGGAATGATGTGTAGTATTTCTTTTGTACTTTACTTTTTGCTTTGCGATTTTTGTAAGGGTGTCTTTGAGCCCTTTGTAAAGACAAATATTTGTAACATATTTGCTATGGATGGAGGTCGTTTTTGGTCGTAAATCTATGAGTCATTTTCTTTGAATGATTTTTATTTGACGACTTCTGTCATGGTTACGTCATTTCGATGCTTTGTTGAAATGCTAAACTTATTGTATTGAGTTTAGTCGAACTCTTTTCGTTGGCAACAACCTTAGCCGTAGGGATATCGCTTTTGAGTTGGCGTCGAAGTAGTATCCCGCTGCAGTTCGAGTGATGGCAAACTCATTTTTTATGTCGATGACCTTAGCTATTGGGATGTTACTTTCGAGTTGGTGCCGAAGTAAGACCCTGTCGTGGTTTGAACGATGTCGAACTCATTTTTTATGTCAATGGCCTTAGCCATTGGG